AACACAAGCGCGCAAAACTCTCGAGGCATTCTGGATTAATTCCAAGAATCCAAAAATGAACCGCAGGGAAGAATGCCTCGTTATCACGCGTGATATTGGGCAGTATATAAGCCTATTATTTTGATAGGATGGACACAGTACGATTCCGTGTAAACTCTGCGCGGTTGGTCTCCACGTGACATATTTAGTGGAAGACGCATAGAAAGCGGTGAGTGTGCAAGGCTGTGTTCAATGTGATTGAAATCTTGGTTTAGCGTTTTCTTTGTTTGGTTATGGAGGTGTTTGGCCGAATAGATTGCTGTCAACTTGACCTTTCCAAGCTCTGGGAAAAGCGAAATCCGCCGATAAGTCAGCTTATACGTAAATAAAGAAATTAAATAACACTTACCTCGTGTTTACTAAACAAGAATATAAATAATTCCTGACACTGCTTTTCTCACTGCTAATTCGGCTAGTGGAAACGCCGACTTTCTTCTCAGCTGATTACCAAAGCTTGACATCCAAAAACTACCCACAGCCATATGCAATACTCTGAGGACCAAAACTTCGGACGCGAATAAGCATCACTGTATAGCCTCCGTCAACTATCTCCCCAATGATCATTTAGTAACTCGAGTGGGTGCTAGTTAATATCTTTTTGGTCATCTAGTACACAAGAGTACTCCAAATGGCCTCGCTCTAGGGACGAGATGAGCGCCATGTCTTTCTCCCTAGCTTCTCGCGCAGAATTCTGATCGACGCGTCGATGCCCTTTCTATTATGTGCTTAAAATCCCGTTTATTAGTTCGCCAAGTTTCGGCAGCGTCTGGGGTCTGGAGTGGGTCATATTTTGGATTCTCTCTTCCACTTGCTGATACCTTCACTAACATCACTATTCGACAACATTGAGTGACGTTTCATCATACTTACCTAGTGTGCAGGTTTATGACGCTTGCATTAAGGCCATTAAAGCGTGGTAATCTCGGAGCCGGATATGTCTTGTTTTCTTCATTACATCCTTTACGATTTTAAAAGCCTTCCCAACCGCTCTATTCTTGCTGTTGAGCTCACAAACTAATTAGTTCATCGTCGTGGCTTTTCAAACTGGGCAGGCAAAAATGTAGCATTTGGAGAAATTCCTTTCTTTGAGCGTAAATGTGCCATTGAATATATTCCGATTCACATGAACACTGTCTTTTTGGGACTCACGAGAAGATCAACCTTTTTGCTACCCACTGTTGAAATCTTTCAGCATTCGCGTCGTCTAGTTAGTGCTTAATGCTTGGTGATGTAAAGACGATATTATCAACAAAGAGAAAAGGTGCAACTCCCAGAGAGCGCCTTTCATTTGGATTTTGTCATATTTTAGTTATCATAAGACGCTTCTGATGGTGACAGCAAACAATCTTTGCGAGATGATATTTGCTTGTGGCACCCATCTCTTTACGACAGTGTTGATGCTGTTGTAGAATGATGAGATAATGGTTATGGAGCTGTTATATAGCTCATTAAGGATCCTCGTGTAGTGATTAGGAGCACCCTGGCTTTCCAGAACTTTCATGACCGCTTCAGTTTCAGCAGAGTTCCAGCGTTTTCAAGCCAATAAAGGTGAGACAAAGTGGCGTTTCGCATTCTAGCAGTAATTCATTGAGTTTTCTTAATGTGTGGATGTGGTATATCGCACTTAATTCATTATGAAGCCATGGTTGCTAACGTTACTGTCCTTCGTCCAATGTTCTGTCAATATTGTTGACGACGACTCGATCTTCCAATGATGAGAGAACGCTGATGAGAACAGACTGCAAGTTCCGTGGACGTTCTGGTGCAATCTTGTCCAAATCGGGTGCAGTATGATTTTTCACCGAAGGCATTTCATACCACACCTTTAGAGGGGTAATCAGTAGGATGACATTTCACTCTTCTTTATTCCATATGGAGGCAGAAGGACGTGGGCTTCATTATCACCGAAATACTATTATTGGGGCGTTGGAGATGCTCTCCTCCAGTTCTGCATGTTCAGACTTTATTACTTCTCTTCTCTCATTAAGAACCTTTGCCTCTCTGCGGAGGCGCGCAAGTTTGGAAATGAGTTAGAGATGATGAATGATACCCATAGCTCGCTCATTTCTACTTTGGTGTATCATTTCCAGCATTTTTTGGAGAAAGACATCTCTTTGCGACTCTTCGACTCTGGTTTTTTCAGTACTCACGGAAAATGTTGATCAAACTGGTTCTCGTATGTAATGCTGAGATATTTGCAAAACTCCGGACCGCAGGTGTATGCGGTGGGGAACGAACACACGCTGTCGTCTTTACCGGAGAACAGCGCACTTGACCACCACACCGTCCAAACTGGTTCTATTCTTCATCGATGTCGTCATCAACGGCATATTCCCATAAAGCGTGTATTGATCTGAATAAATGCCGGCCTGCGGTGATTTGGGAGCTTCATTTCTTGAATTTTGAGTTTCCCTTTCTGGGAAACGAGTCTTGGACGAATATACTATTGACCCGTTCATTCCACTCTAATACGTTGGCCTCGATGTGAAACCAAAACTTCTCCTGAATTTCAGAATCAAACAGCAACATTTAAGTGATAACCCAATGATGACCCAGATGGCATGGTGTCCTGTGTAAAGCTTTCCCAAGTCCGCGTAGAACGCTTCGACTTCGTTTTCGTCATAGCTTGATACTAGAATAGAGACTACGAGGATTGTCAAAGCTGGTATTGCCTATATCATTCCAACCACAAGCGCTCATTTATGTTGTTAGTTACTCAAAAAAATCGGTGTTTATGGTCAAACTTGTGTTAACCAAGATACTGACGCTACCGATTGTTCATTGCCCATGTTCTGAAGAGTAGCTCTTCTCCGAGGTCTGCATGGTGAGTTTAATGGACGGTGTTTTCTTATCTCAGCTAGTCCGTTGACGTTGTCGTTGATCTTTCTAGTTTGCATTAGTAAGTCCTCAATAGAGGATTTGAACAGTAGCATGTGTGCCTTAGTACGTGCTGTCACCCTAGTCCTTCCGGATTTTAACGGCCAAGAATGGTATTCAGACTTTACCATCCTTTCCATAGTCCTTCTACTAAACCTTGTCCTACTGGATGCTCTTTCGGTATAAACTGAACGATGCCCATTTATTATTCTGTGTTCGGCTACCGATATCCATGACTATCTTACTGAGCTCTCAGCGTGGGGTTGGATGTACTCATGTTTAGCTTGCCAGACTCCCAGAATAGAGATGAATTTATCTGTTAGAGGGTGAATCATAACGGCTTCCCATATATTTCCCAGTCAGTTGATTGCAGACTTTTGTCCGAATTAATTTGTAGAATACAATCTCCTTAAAAAGATACACCCATGCAAGCAAACATGGGCGTGTCCATGTAGATACAGTAATGTATACAACCACGAGGATTCTAAGATATGAGCAGAAGTGGGAAACTCAGGTGGGCTTCGATGCAAGGTTTATGTTTTCCAGGAGCTCAAGTATTATCCACCATCCCAACGGAGGCGACAGTTGCTTTACCTTTCTCTCAGCCACATTTTTACTCTGGCGGTACTGTCAGGCACCACTATCCTACGGGGATAATCTGCGGAGCAGAAATCAACATTGAACCTAGCTAAGAAAAAGAATAGGCAGTAAATGAATGTTAAACACAGTAGTACATGGTGAATCGGCCGCGCAGAAATAGGGAGACCAACGCGCGTGTGACGCAGTGGAAGGAGGTGCACTGTGATACACACGGAGATCAATCCCATTCCGCGTCCGTGGCCCGCCAAGCCTTCCATTTTTCCAGTGTCCACAAATTGGTACCAGAACGGTCTGGAAAGATAGCATCACTGGCTCGATGCATTGGTAGGCAACCGTGCATCACTGTAGTGGCCAGATATTCATTCAATCAACCACCTCCAACGATGCTCAATGATGTCGAATGCATGACACATCCCTCATGTGTGGTGAACGCCGTGACCTTTATCCTTTTTTATTCCCTGAATGGACCTGCGTCCTAATAAAGCACAAAATCGGTTTTGTTCTACGTAAAACATGCTATTGGATTGGATTTGACGGATTGGATTCGGCCTCTACGTCGTCCTTGAGCGGTCGGCTACTTTTTCATTCCTACTTTCGTTTCTGATTTCGGTTTTAACATCTCTCGGAACCAACTAGGAGGAAGACCGAGCGACGGATTTGTCGACGAAAACACACCTCCTTCTGATCGACATCGTGGTGAAGACGTGGATACGCCCTTGCAAGGTTACGTCAAGACTTCAGGAAGGACCAAGCTGCACGACCACTAATAGGCCAGCCTCAGTACCCCGCACACTGGGTGCTCCCGTCTGTGACGTCAGGCGGTGGACCGGTGAGAGGCCAGAAAATCTCGGGTTACGCTGGACGTCATTGAAATCGGATCTGACGAACACACGCACGACACGCCATGGAGCTTGTTTCTCGCTATGCACGTATAATGCCAGAATACTCTCCACAGACGCCGATCATCACGCCCTTCTTGCAGCCGCAGATCGTATTAAATTTCATGCGATCGCATTATAAGAAACAAGAAAACAAAAATCAAGGAGAGCGTCATACGCAAACTAAACAACGGGACCGTTGTGATCCGTGGGAAAGAGGTCCCGTCACGAAATGTTGGCGGCGTAGGCTTTGTTGTCCATCCGTCCATTGTCCATCTCGTTAACTCATACGAGATCCTTTTCCTTGTACAGCTGTCCTCCGTCTTCAACTGTCGCATCACAAGAAGATCACTATCATCAACTGCTACCCACCGACCAACGCAGCTGGTGAGTACGAATTAAATGCGTTCTACTATCAGTTGCGGTAGTTGTTGTCGGAGACTTTAACGCCAGAATAGGAAAGGCCAACGAGGGCGAATACAGGATCGGAAATTTTGGATTGGGAGAAAGAAATAAGAATAGGAACCGTCTCGCAGGACACCTGTCAGCAGCACGTCTCTTCCATGGAAACTCGTTTTTCCAGAAGAAAGAAAGCCGCCGCTCAACATGGAAGTCTCTAACCGCATGACTCATGCGGAAATCGACCACATTATGACAAACAGAAGATGGTGCCTACTTGACACATCGGTAGTCCCGTCATTCTGTACTGGTTCCGATCACCGCCTTCTTTGCGCGAGGATTCGATTCAGCCGCAAGTTGGAAACCAGCTTTCTTCATCGACCACGAGGAAAAAGTCCAGCTGTATACGACGAAAACATTCTGAACGAAGTCCTATCCAAACGTGACTGGCAGTTTAAAGAAGACTCGACGGAAGACTACGAGCTGCTTGTCGAAGGACTGAAAAGCTGCGCCGAATTCGCCTCAGTTCCTCAAGCAAGAAATTGAATCGTATCTCCATCATTAGTAAGAAGCTGCTTGAAAAGAGAAGGGAATTGAAGCTTGATCCTACTGCAACAGGTTTAACATGGCTAGTAATAAATGTCAGCTGCAGAAGAGCTTTGCTGGAAGATGTACAGCGGTACAAGCGGAAGNGCAGCTGGTGAGTACGAATTAAATGCGTTCTACTATCAGTTGCGGTAGTTGTTGTCGGAGACTCCAACGCCAGAATAGGAAAGCCTAACGAGGGCGAATACAGGATCGGAAATTTTGGATTGGGAGAAAGAAATAAGAATGGGAACCGTCTCGCAGGACACCTGTCAGCAGCACGTCTCTTCCATGGAAACTCGTTTTTCCAGAAGAAAGAAAGCCGCCGCTCAACATGGAAGTCTCTAACCGCATGACTCATGCGGAAATCGACCACATTCTGACAAACAGAAGATGGTGCCTACTTGACACATCGGTAGTCCCGTCATTCTGTACTGGTTCCGATCACCGCCTTCTTTGCGCGAGGATTCGATTCAGCCGCAAGTTGGAAACCAGCTTTCTTCATCGACCACGAGGAAAAAGTCCAGCTGTATACGACGAAAACATTCTGAACGAAGTCCTATCCAAACGTGACTGGCAGTTTAAAGAAGACTCGACGGAAGACTACGAGCTGCTTGTCGAAGGACTGAAAAGCTGCGCCGAATTCGCCTCAGTTCCTCAAGCAAGAAATTGAATCGTATCTCCATCATTAGTAAGAAGCTGCTTGAAAAGAGAAGGGAATTGAAGCTTGATCCTACTGCAACAGGTTTAACATGGCTAGTAATAAATGTCAGCTGCAGAAGAGCTTTGCTGGAAGATGTACAGCGGTACAAGCGGAAGGAATTACTGGAAGCAGCAGAGAAAAGAAGCAGTCTGAAAAAATCCCGTCCGGACTTGTGTGATTATAGTGTTCCGCTGTCAGCCCTGATGAACGAAAATGGAATCGTCAAAACTTCCTGCCATAATATGGAATTAATAGCGAAAACGTTCTACACCATCCTTTTCCGTCCCACAACCCCGTCTCGAGTCTTAGTATCCCCGCTGGAGAAAAACCACCTGGAATTATTCCACCGGAGGTTCGAGAAGCGATAGAAAGCATGAAGAGAGGCGCAGCTCCAGGACGAGATAATGTCACTGTCGATTTCCTTAGAGCTGAAGGCCACAATTTACATGTACTTCTCGCAAATCATATGACAGCCTACCTTCAAAAGAAAAAAATCGCAGACCAGTGGAGGACGCCGCGCACGGCCGTCCGGCCCAAAAAAGGAGACCGAAGGGCTCATCGTAACTATCGTCCCATATAGTTGTTAAGTGTACTCTACAAGCTCTTCACGAAGATTATCCTCTCGCGCATATCAAGGATAATGGATGAGGCGCAACCAGTCGATTCGATCAACCAGCCAGGCGATTTTGCTGCATGGACCACATCCAAACCGTGTGCAGGGTCATCGAAGGTTGTCGGGAATACCACTTGCCTCTAGTCCTAACCTTTGTCGACTATGAGAAAGTGTTTGACAGTGTCGAAACGAATGCAATCCTATCAGCGCTCGTCGAGCAAGGAACGGACCCGTCCCACATAAGAACTCTGTCCGGCTGTTATCGGTACTGCACTACGAAAATACAGTTTTTCCACCGACCTTCTACAGTACCCATAGGAAAAAGGGTTCTGCAGGGCGACACAATATCGCCAAAGCTGTTCAGCGCCGTACTACAGTGGATAATGAAGTCACTGGGTTGGGATGAGAAAGACGTACGTATTGATGGAAAATTTCTATCAAGCCTTCGTTTTGCCGACGACATTGTCATCTTCTCAAGAAGTACTAGCGAAGCAGAGGTGATGATCAATGAGCTCAACGAAGCGGGGAGAAAGATCGGACTTCGCATAAATCGAAAGAAGACCCACTTCGTGAGAAATCCATGGTGCGAAGGCGAAAAAATTGAATTGGATGGCTCTTTCATTGCAGAGACCACCTCGTACGCATACCTTGGGCGATCAACAAACATAAGAAGCAACATGCAGGAGGAACTAGATAGAAGAAGGAGAGCAGCTTGGGCCACATTCGGACCTCTCAAAGAAGCCACCGGCCAACTGAAGAATCTGAAAATCCGCGCTCATCTCTTCGATTCTACGGTCCTCCCAGCGCTCTCTTATGCTGCAATGAGGTGGGATGATAGTTTAACTACGTCGAGAATGCTTTGAACTACTCACAGAGCGCTTGGGCGATGTCTTCTGAAATATAACCGACACTCTCAATATGTAGTCGGAATGCGAAGCTCTGATTTTCGAAATCTGTCACATCTTCGAGATCCAGGGTAATACATATCGATAGCGAAACATAGATGGGCTGGTCACATAATAAGAAGAGACGTCAGATGGACGAAAAGAACAGTAGGGTGGACTCCAAGAGAATGCAAACGTTCTCTAGGACGACCATCTACACGTTGGACGGACGTGTTCGTAGGTTAATCAGATGTACCTGCAACTGCAGTTGTTTTACAGATCACTGTATGAGACTCACATGCGCTACCATACTCGAACAAGACCACCATGGACTACGATTGCGAGAGAAAGGAGCGAATGGCATATGTGCTGGGGTCGGCGCAGCTCGTGAAGACGGATCGTCCAAGTACCCAAGTAAGTATGTAAAACTTTCTATCCGCTACCGAGGAACACGTTGCGAGGCCTGACGACTGAGAATCCCTCATTGAGTGAAATCTATGGAAAACCAATCCTTTCGGAAAAATTAACGAGCAAGTTTGCCACGAATAGAGTAATATCATAGTGAAGCTTCAACTTGAACGCTGATCTATAGTGCGGTTGATTACAATTGCACAAATTCAAAACCAGAAATCAATCGTTATTGTTCTTCAAAGCAGCTGACTAACGGCAAACAATATTTGTTACGAATTGCCGCTTTTTTACTTCGTGACTATCTACGAAGTGAATTCCAGTGATGTTTATTTGATAAGCAAGGTGAAGACAGCTCGATCTCTAACAGATAGCGCGCTCTATTTACGATCGCGTTCTCAAGGCGGGAAATTCTTCATCACCCTTCGCTTTAAAATTTCGTGTCTTCACTTCGAAGAAGCTCTTCCTTACAGTTGTTATATTCTTGTGGTTAGTCGTGCTTTTCGTTCATACTTTTCCTACTCCACAAGCATTTTATCTTCTCACAACCGGTAGCGTTTGAAATGGCTGAGAAAGTAATATCACAGGTCGGTGAAGAGCACATGCAGGTTTGTTCAACTTCGATCACATTTTGCGCTACCATACTTCGTATAATAAGCTGCCATTTATAGGCCGAATCTAGTCACAATTCTGGAGATTCCACCACCAATTCCGAGGTCGCGAAAACTGAGTAGGCTTTCTGTTCTCCTCAACCTCTAGTTTTGTTCGGTCTTCCATCCAGTATAAATGTTACTGATTTCCTTCGAATTATTCGGTTTTAATTTTAGATCCCAGCAGGTTTTAAGGACGTGGGTCATTGACGATTTCGACATAGGTCGACCTCTAGGAAGAGGAAAATTTGGATCTGTGTTCATTGCCCGTTCGAAAGAAGAGAAAATTGTCGTCGCATTAAAGGCACGTGACTTCTAGCTTTATCCATTTTTAAAAAACAGGGTCGGTGGCAGGGATTTTTCAAGTCAGAGGCAAAGTCGGAACATAGCATTCCCATCCCGTTTGCGCTGCATTCGTTAGTTTGTCGTGAAATGTTGTTCCATTACTGTTATTCTTAGCGAATTCCTATGTGTGGTTTCCATTGCATTCTTCAGGTGCTCTTCAAAGACCAAATTAAGAAGCACAATGTAATGCATCAGGTCAAACGTGAGATTGAAATACAGTACCATCTGCGGTGGGTGAATATTTTTCGACGTGTTTTGAAATAGCGTTGGAATGTTTCTGGATACTTTCACGGTATTTAGGCATCCTAATATTCTACGGTTGAAGGGCTATTTTCATGACCAACAACGTGTATATATTATTTTGGAATTCGCCGACGGTGGGGAGTTGTACGATCGTCTGAAGAAGAAGGGGAAGCTGGATGAGCCCGAAGCTTCCAAGTAAGCGCATATTTGGTTTACCGCCTCTATCACCGGTAATCCTATTGATTATCAGATATATGTGGTATTTTGGAGCCCCAAAATGCTTGTATTTAACCACGGTCGTTGTTGTTGGAAATGCCATGCCGCAGACGCATGCTCAGTTGTTCGATTCTTCACCGGACCAAGTTCCCCTTCCTCTGTTATGGGGAATCTAGCTCCAGTTTTGATTGGAAGGAAATCTCTCCAATTCAAAAAAGCTTGCAGTTGCCTGTGGTTAAGTTAAGGTTAAGGAGTTGCCTGATACCTCCGTGGAGAATTAATTTAATTAGCATTCATCGAGTTTCATTGAAAAATTCTCTGAGAATTCTCCAAATAGCAGCCAAGCACAAGCAATTCGAGCGAGTTCTGTTGATGGTGGATGCAAAACAGCAGGCCGAATGAAAGAGCTAGGGTATGCTCAGCATGTGACGAATGGTGATGTAACGAAATAGAGTTCTGTATGGGAGCATTCTTGATCAACCACAATGATGCTAAGGTATTTGCAAAATTCCGGATCACGTTCACCTGCAGCGGGGATCGAACACTATTGCTCTTTATGAGGCTTACGCGTTCACCTCTACACCATGTGGGTCCTTCGTTTCGCCTTTCTCATTGTTGATCAATTAATGACGTGTTCAAATCATCTCACTGCGTTAGAAACTGACTGAATTTGCAGTGTTCTAACCTTTATTTCCTGCCTGCTCTTTTTTCCCAGTGTATGATGTCAAATATAAAGGGATGTCGAGATTTGTGTAATCCCCTCTCCCTCCATTCCCCCGTTTGGAATCTCAACTAGGCTTCGAACTCGTGAACTGAATTTTACTAACCTTTCGCAATTTGCCTATGCTTGAACACGGAAGAAACAAAATTTGTGCCAAATATTTAGTAAACAACTGTTTTTCCTCTGTGTAGATAATTGGTTTCAGATATGTTCGTCAGTTGGCGGATGCTCTCAGCTATTGCCATGCTAAACGAGTCATTCACCGCGATATAAAGCCTGAGAATATCCTTCTTGATAGGAAGGGAAATGTAAAGGCAAGATATAATACGTATTTAGGAGAATTAAGCCCATTGTAAGAGCGCGTATGGCGCAGTGGCTGGAGGCGCCGCTGCGACACACACGAATCGATCTCCGCGCCCATGGCTCACCAAGCCTTCCATCCCTCCGGGATCGGCAAATTGATACCAGACTTGTCTGGGAGGATAGCAGCACTGGCTCGATACATCGGTGGGCCACCGCTAGTCGTTCTAAAGGCCATGCATGCATTCAATCGCCTCCAACGATATTAATGAAATCGAATGCATGGCGCATCCTTCAGCGTTTAGTCGAAGCCGAGAGCTTTAGAGTTTTTAAACTGATAGTTTGAACGTGTCTGCATACCACATGCATTCAATAGTTGTGATTTTGGCCAGGGAATCGTAGAAAGCAGCTTAGTCTCTTATTCCTTGTTTCCGGAATTTAACATGATTCCTACGACTAGACGCAGCCAACCGATTTCTTTATTTCATGCCTCCATAGTAAATACTTTAGAGCGGATTTTGGCATCAAATCTAAACTTATTCTCCAACAAAGCTAAGAACTTGTAATTTTTTTCAGATCGCTGACTTCGGTTGGGCTGTCGTATCTGCTCATTCACGCCGTGAGACCATTTGTGGCACTTTGGATTACCTGCCTCCGGAAATGATACATGGGAAAACCCATGACCACACTGTTTGTTTTTTAGCTTTCTTTTCTAGAATAGTCGATATAATTGTGGATCCTCACTTGCTTTAAGAACAAGATAATCTTTTATGCATAAGTTATCTCCAAACAAATGTCGTGGTATCTATTTTCAAGGAAAAAGGACAATGGTAGTAGGGAAAAAATTGGCTTAAAACCTTGTTAGAAGGTGCTGTGACATTTTCTTGGTACGGATATTGGTGCAAAAAACATTTCCATTTTTTCAACTTAGCAAAATTCTATCATTATGCCACTTGAATGCTTCAATGTTCCGCCCTCGTGTGTTGTGAGGGTTACATCACACATTCCATTCGTGTCTTCTTCCGTGATTGTCGTAATAAGGGCCACAAACATGTTCCATCCATTTCATAGGTTGTTACCCGCGGTAACACTTCTACCCTGTTGGAATACACTGCGCAGTTCTTCTCACTCATCTGTTTTGAACGCTTTTCACTTCATGATCTGCTCATTTATGTTTCAGTTTTGAAGTATGTTCTTAATTTCGAAGATTGGCTACCTTGTAAGGTTCGAGCAGTTAGGCTAGAGGTTTTATCTTCGGTTCACAGTTCAGAGGATATTGTTCGGTCACTTTCTGGGTGATATGATCTTCTGAATTTCTGAGTGAGATCTATGATTTTCTTCTCCTTTTACGCAGGTTTATGTCGTTTCCCATGATTATGCAACGCACTTGGCACATAATCTGCGCGTAATCTGTTATTCGGAAAATCGTCCATGGCGATTTGGTACAATGAAAGTTTTATGCGGTTGTGCCATCAATGCGCGTGCCATTTTCGTCACAGTCCAGCTGCTTCGTTATTGAATGGAATGCGAAGTTTAGCAGTTCTGGCGAGATATTGTGTCAAATCCCTCTCACACAGGAAATGGAGTACGTTGATGAAAGGGCTTGTTTTCGGGTCGTTGTTGCGGAAGTATTTAGTTAGAGTTCTTATGCAGGACAGGTCCACTTCTTGGTTGATGAACGATGAAATGTGGCTTTTGTTTCGACGATAACAACGCTTTTTTACAGTTGATAAGAATTAGAACAATGGCAAAGTGGTGCTCTACGAATTTCTCTGACCTTCCTTGTGTAGACGTCGATCTATGCCTTTGTTTTCCCACAACGCAATCCCAGTGTTCAGGCGTTGTTTTCTGTCTTCGTGAAAAGTTTATCATAGAAGAGTGGTGATGTGGGCAGGAGCTCAGCGAAATGATTTCCAACCTGGCTTCTCGCTCCTATTCCAAACTTCCCGATTCACCACTCGCTTTCACTGACATTTTCTAATTTGACAATGAAGTCATCGACAACGAAGCTGTAGAAATGTCTTTCTTGGCGAATTATTTTTCCCTACCTGATTGTCTATTTTTATTGTATATTTTCCGACATCGTATTATGCGGATCGCAGCGGTTCGTTTATTCGATTCGCGCCTTCGCATCCGTCACCTACCAAGATCTTCGAATTTCCATATTTGGTTGCCTCCTACTTGAGGACTTTGCTTTCTCATAGACATTGTTTGATGCCGGTCGATTCTTTCTCTGTAGTCCTGGTATAGCACTGTTAGAGCGTTCTCAGGTCATCAACGCAGACGGTCGCAGGCTACTATTGATCAATTCCTAAGACCGACTTTCTGTTAACCTCGGCATTAATTGATAATTCAATGTTTTCCCTTCAATAAGCAGACACGAGGTTGTTAATATAGAATTTATTAGAATACAATAGCTGACGTTTCGGCGGTTTCGCCTTCTTCAGAGCCTGGAAGGGTCAAATTGAGATGTGATCTACTCAGCCAAACACTTTCATAACCCTAGCAGATAAAACTTGACAAATTGATTTGCATTCGCGTAAGAAACAGCTTCATCCAAACACCTACCGTTTATTCGTTGCAAGTATTTAAGTTAGTTGATGGATAGCCGCCGCACAGAGTAATACATGGGCGATAACTGTGTGTGTTAGGTCATTGGATTAGCCCGAGGTATGGCGCCAGGTCACGCGTGATGAGAAGACACTCCTCTTTGCGGTTCATTTTTGAATTTTTGGCATTGATCCAAAACGCTTCAAGAGTTCTACGCGCTGATGTTTTCGATTCCTACGTAAGGATAGTGACTCCTACCTCAAAATCTTCTCCGTTGTGTTCCTGGACGCGCCTAGTGGAGTGTTTGATTTTAATTTAGATTTACCGACTAGGTGTTCTTTTATGCGGACGCAGAGCGGTCTACCCGTTTCGCCAACATATTCGTGCCCGCACGCTTTACAAGAGATCAGATAGACTGTAACCGAACTCATGCAATCACCGTCTCTACCGTTTGGGCAAATTATGCAGTTTTTTGTTGTACATAGACGGTCGTATAGGCGGTTGCGAACTAGCTGGCGTCTTAGAGGGTCCGGTGGTATTTCTATCACTCTTACGGAATTCTCTAGACCGGTCCTTATTAAGCAGCGTTTTATAGCTGCACTTATTTCGTTTGAAATAAAGGGCAACAGGAACGGAGCCTTGTTTTCGCTAGAATTATCGCTCTGGGGCGTGGGATTTCCTCGATGCCTATGCCGAGAAGCTACAGTTTCGTAACCATTTGAAATGGCTATTTGGCGCGCCAGTTTCGAGGATTCTTCACTCTGCTCTCTACATGTGCTGATGGCGGTTCGAAACATATTTCTTATAAGCGCCCTTTTAATGTGTGAGGGATGAGAGGAGAGGTAATGAACCACTATATTCTTACTGCTTGGTTTTCGATACCATTTTGTGTTGTAGCCGTTCTCGGATAGGTTAATTTGAACGTTTAGAAACGGAAGCCAGTTTTCTTTCGGTTTCTCACGGCTGAATTTTATGTACTCTGACTGTTCGTTCAATAACTTAAAGCATTTGTCCATCTCCTCTTGTGTGGAGCAGATGACAAAACAATCATCTATATACCTACAGTAGAGTAATGGCGTGAGATCGATTACTGGTGTTTCCACTTTAGACATAAAGGCAACGGCAAGGATTAGTGCCAGTCGCTGTCCCATTGCCAACCCTCTAATTTGCGCGTAATTTTTCCCGGACCATCTGAAGATCGAGCGGTTTAAACAGACCTTCAGGAGGACCATAAGCTGCTGAATCGAAAAGCCATACATGTTAATTGCTCCTTCGTGTTGCTCAAGAAGCTCGCGGATGGTTTGCATTGCGGAGTCGTTCGACACGTTAGTGTAAAGGGCAATAACGTCGAACGACTCTATAACGTACGCACTTTTAGGACGTGCGTTAGGCAGACGGTCTAGGAACATTTGGGTGTTCGTGAGATGGGCTGGTATATGCTTAAGGAACTGGTTGGGAATTAGCTTTATAAACCAAGCAATTCTATCCGTAGGCCCGTCTACACAACTGATGATTGGTCTCACTTCAAAAGTGGAGGGCTCGGTAGACGCCAGATCATCAGCGCATATTAACTTTTGGGTATTGATAAGTAAGTATAGGACGGGACATGTCGGCACTTCGATCTTAAGATGCGAAATGTCTGCTGGTTTTAAACCTGCTGCGCTTGCGATTTTGACCCAATCGTTGTTCAGTTTTCGATTTTGACTTCTGAATTCCTTTTCAGTTGATGCCCGATAAGGAGATGCGTCTTGAAGATGTTTTACCGTTATATCGACATCTAACTGGCGAGGAATTACTACAAACTCTCCACCCTAATCAATAACTGATAGCCTAATACTCTTTGATTTTATTAGCTCTCGAATCTGTCGCATACCAGATTTTGCGCAGCTGTAAGGTTCGAACTAAACTTTCTCGCGCTATAGTGGTTAAGTACTTTGAGAGTTTCGCTCGAAAATATGCGAAATTTTATGCTAATTTGCTAATACAGATTTATTTGTTAATTTTTATCTGCTAGGGTTATGAAAGTGTTTGGCTGGGTAGATCGCATCTCAATTTGACCTTTCCAGGCTCTGAAGAAGGCGAAACCGCCGAAACGTCAGCTATTGTATTCTAATAAATTCTATATTAACAACCTCGTGTCTGCTTATTGAAGGAAAAACAATGAATTATTGATCAATTATTCATGGTAATGGAAAGTGGGTTTGAGAAACTGTGAGAACTTCACAGATCAGTTCAATACAAGTTTACGAAACACAGTTTAGTAAGTGTCTTCTGATAATGCTCATCTTCTTATGATGCACGGGTTGAATACGAAGGATGACTAAGAGAGGTGAAGAGATCTCGTGTGAGTTAACAAGATGAGTAAAAGGAGAATGAACAACAAAGCATCAGCCACCGCCATGTTGTGATAGGGACGTTTTCTCTGCAGTTTACAAGAGTCCAATCATTGAATTTGTGTATATAGGTTTTTTCTTACTTTTATCTCTTATTGGGAGACCAAATGGGATTTCATGAGACGTGCGGCTCATGAAATGTATGGTCTGAGGACATTCGGAAGATGTGTTGTTGCAGACTTAGAGCAATAAATGGTCTGTATGTTGTGGAGTTGTTTTGATCTGATTCCGATGAAGTACGAAAATTCGATGGAACGTGGGTGTACTAAAAGTGCCTTTTTGTTTATCGACTAATTTTCACTAGAATCACGAGGTAGCCGAGTTGTACTGTTTCCACCAGAACTAGTCGTCCAACCCACGTAGTCGCCGTATGTTTTGGATCGAACATATTTGCTGTGGTACACAGGCGAACGAAAACGTCTTTATATATCATTATGTATAGACAACAGCCTTTCTCGTTCTAACGCCGGTATAATATGTATGCTTTAAAAAGAAGTTCGCATAATGCAAGAGGTACCTCAGAAAATGATGTAACTCTAAAACACAACTTAATGTGAGTTACATATGACTCATACCCTAAATTGTACCTTGGTAGGAGTTATGTTTGACAACGTGGATTACTTCTTTTTTCTTCTGAGTGAAACGTTTTTTTCTGGTCTAATACCTTTCTTTAGTCTGCGCTTAATTCCTAATTAAATGTGCTGTATTGTTTTCAGCTGACGCTATTTTAAATGCGTTTAGGTTGACAATTGGGCTATTGGTATCCTTTTATATGAGATGCTCGTAGGACGACCACCGTTTGAATTTCCCGACAGGGATAAAACGTTGTTAGCAATTACGACTTGTAGACTTATAGTGAGTTTGAAGTCTGTTAATGTTCTATTGTCTACGTTATAGTCAGTGTGTAGTACTGTGTCGTTCTCTAGTGGTTTTGAAAGCGGACGCGAAAAATCGAACAGTAAAGTCATTGTCTCACACGCTATAGCTGATATTCCCTTTCTCTCTTTAGTCTTATTATCCTTAGCCGATTGCTTATTTATAGATTCCAAAGTGGGTCAGTGAAGGTCCGAGTGAATTGATAAGACGTCTGGTGGTGAAAGAACCAAGCATGAGGTCATTTTTTCTCTTAGCATCGGGAAATGGATTATCACTGTTTGTGAACATTTAAGGTTATCCCTTTCTGGTGTGTTAACACATCGATGGGTGGTAAGCATGTCTACAGCGGTTGCTACTGACACTCCGAATTGTGGACCTTCACGTCAAAATCCCGTCTAGTAGTGTGATCAGCGAGGCTTTTCTGCTGTTGGCTGTTGCTGTGGTAAATAATTTAATGAATTTTGAGCAGTGGCCTTGCGTAAATTTCTCTAGAATATAGGAGTCAGTTTTTACTCCATTCAACACTTGTTTGTAAATTTTTTTTGTACCTGTATAAAGACTAACAGTCTTTAAGTTTATGGGATCAGTCCATGATTACCGTCCAGTTATGTTCTCACGTAGAGATCCATGGCTATGTAAAATTCTGCTTCCTTGTACTGTTTAAACCTTTATAAACTTTGTGAAACCTATTATGTTGTTAAATATGGATGACAGTGAGAACGATGACAACTACAGCTTAGCACCATGGCAAGCAAGTCAAATGAGAAAACCTTCATTAAATTGTAAATCAAAGGGTTATGTTAACGAGTACTTTAATAGAGAAGATTCAGGTTGGACATTTAAACAAGAAGGGAGACATGGATGAAGTATTTAAGACTTTATTTGTGAGTATCGAATTTCATGACGAATCTAACAAGGCTTTTTGTGAGTGTCGAAGCAGATAACTGATTCCTGAATGTAGTACAAGGTTTTGCAATAGTAATGTCTGGAAAGTGCTGGGTTGAAGAGAACTGTAAACCTACTATTTAGTAGGGGTTGACAGTCTTTTACTGTGCACTTTTGCTCCGTCCACTGCTTACAGAAGACAAGGATACAGCCTTCATGCAACTTGTTTATTGCCTTAAGGTAACTACCGCAAGTTATCGCGGACCTGAATGGTAAGTAAGTTTGCTTTTTGATATCCCAGCCATGTATTGTAAATCTGGTGAACTAAACTGTGGATGATCTATTCTGTCCCTAAATAGAGTTTTCATTTAAATGTTAGATATATAGGAAAAGTGAAGCTCCACAAGAAATATGTGGGAAATCACAACGGCATTTGATTCGCTTCTGTAGAGTTCTCGGCGTCGACCAATGCCTGAGGGATACGCAGTGCATTTAGCACTATTAAGCATCGTTTCGTGGTCACTGAGTGCGTATCTGGCATTTACAGTGACTCGCAGTGGTCTACCGTTTTATCGAGCCAATGCTGCTATCCTCCCAGACAAGTCTGGTACCGATTTGCCGACCCTGAACGGCTTGGTGGCCCAGGGACGCGGAGATCGATTCCATGTGTGTTGCAGGGCGCCTCCGACCACTGCGCCACACACGCCCCTTTAAAAGACTGTAGCACAAACATTTTCATGTCGAAGATCTTGGAATTAAACCACAAGATTTGATGAACAACTTCAAGAAATAAACGTGCAGTGCAGCTGTAGTGCGTGCGCCAGCGCCTAGCGCCAAGAACAGAAAATGACCTACTCAAGCAGAGCTCCGTTTCGAAGTTTGCTGACGAGAAGCGCAGTAATATTTATTCCTACAACAGCCAGTGGAAAGTCCTGGAATATCCTGCTATTACGAAGAGAAAGGAAAGAAAAGATTGTAAGCTCACATAAGGCTCTGTCCTCGACAAGTGTACAATTTCTCTGAGTGTACTTTCAGGCATGTTTGTCGCCATTGAGTAAAGCTGCATCAATCCCAGTATTCCAGTACCGCGGAAGTCGGTAGCGGGATCACTTCCTAAGAAATTTTGGCACTGCCACACACTGTGTTATGGAATATGACATGCACAATGAAATACCACTGAAATTCTATGGCATTCAAATCGCTCGCACTACTATCTATAGAAATATAACAGGAAAATGACTGTAAGTAAACTAACTGTAATTGTAGGTGGTAAGAATAATGAGGAAGTTAGCCCGAACTACGGTCATGAGATTTGGCACTATAATTACTCGTATACTTGGACGGCCCGTTCTCAGTGGTTGTACATGCCCCAGCATAATCTCCACTTTTCGGAGTTCTGCTGGTTTAGCCATTGTGGTTCCTGGAGGCCCGAGGTCAGTGTGGCCAAAATCTGCCCCAAGTGGTCACCACCACAGGCAGTCGCCGCCCCTGTGGATCAGAGAGAGATTTCCCAGTTATCCAAAAATGTTTCCAACGGACAGATGAAACGTATAACACTTGACAGCAAATTAACGGAAATAGGTGGAAATGCTGTCAGACTGGAATCGAATGTAAATTCTCCTTAGTCTGAAGTCTTTGTCACTAGTTACTGGCAAACTGTTCAAATTCTCTGCTTCTGACCTTAGCTGATTGGTAATCTGACGTCAACCCGAAGTAATCAGATTGATAATAGCATATCTTCGTTCATTTCCTAACATAACCTTTCCAAAACAAAATGTTCACCTATTTGTTTTGCTCATTTGAGAGATAGTGGATATGATTAGTCAACAGACTAAGTGATGTACTTCAATGTGGCAAATAAGTAGGATAAACGCTATCCTTAAATAGCCATGTATTTCGCCTATACCAAATAAGCTTTATGTGAGATCAAGTACAGCCCAACACAGTACCTGTGAGCGAACCAAGACATACACGACCGAGTTCGGTGAACTGGTCATAAAGTGTGTTTAGGTCTCACGTCAGATAAGTTCGCACCCATTCAAATATAAAGGATCGCGTATGAAAACTATGTTGTTCGTGTTTCTTCGAAAACCACTATGTAGCTCTGACGAACAAAAAAAAGCTCTCAGTGCTGATTAATTCTTTAAGGATGCGCCATGCATTCGACTTCACTACGCATCGTTTGGAGGTGATTGAACGCATATCTGGCCTTTACAATGACTAGCGGTGGTGTACCGATGTATCGAGCCAGTGCTGCTATCCTCCCAAACAAGTCTGGTACCAATTTGCCGACCGCGGAGGGAATGAAGGCTTGGTGGGCCGTGGGCGCGGTGATCGAACCCGGATTTATTGCAGGGCGCATCCGAGCCTTCGAGCACTGCGCTACCTGCGCTACTGTGTTCTGACGAATGAAAACGTAAATGGAGGCATTGCCTCTGATGCTTGGATCACCTGATGACTACCTGGGTTGGATGTGATACAGGCATTTATGCTAGCGGTAAGCAATCTTCACCGCGACAACAGCGGAGCTGTCTAGACATAAACGCACTACCAACTGCGCATACCTTGAAAACCGACATTCTGCCAGTGTGCTCCCATCCGTGGACACTCGAATAGTTGCGAGTGACTGTCACCGATCACAGCCGCCAGCTTTGAGTAGAATGTTCGAAGAAGAGACCATTGTGATGCAGATGCATTACAGTAAGGCACTGAAATAGAAACTGACCAGCACATCTAGTCACGTCCAATAATTCACTGAAATAAGGTTGGAGTTGTAGAGTTTTCGCGTCCCAACGATTATCAGAGTAAGGAACAAAATCGAGATCACATTTCCGCTGCATATGATGTATGACGAGCACAGAATTTTCATTTCATCGAAGATAGAGTTTCAAAACATAGAAAACACACTTTGTTCCGAGCCTTCAGTACGGGTGAAAATTGCTGTTCTGTCAATGCTGGTAAGCAGATTGTTACATTTAAAGACAAAAAAGTAGATGTGCGTTAAAAGGATAGAGCTCTCGGCGTTAATTTATCCCTTAGGGATGCCGCATGCATTCGACTTCATTAAGCATCGTTGGAGATGACTAAGCGCATACATGGCCTTTACAGTGACTATCGGTGGGCTGCCGATTCATCGAGCCAGTGCTGCTATTCTCCCACACAAATATGATACCAATTTTCCGACCCCAGAAGGATGGAAGGCTTGATGGGCTAGCGGAGCTGGAACCGAACCATGTATACTGCTGGGCGCCTGCCACCACTGCGCCACACGCGCGTTAAAAACGTGCATTAGGTTTGAAAAATCAAAAGGGATTCGTTATTTAGTTATTATTGACCCATGCTTCACCAACTAATAATTAATCAATGATTTACGTCGTTCTTTTTACAAGAACTACCCAACTAACTTAGGGATGGTAAATTCAAAACACTTGGAGCTTCACCTCATCGCATCGTTAGGATGCTTTTAGGCATAAATTTCTGTGGTCACGATTGTATCACCTGTATCACCCGTAGTCCCGTTAATAGTCGAGTGACTCGAGCGAGCGCCAGTAAATCTTCCATTCTTCCCTGCCGCGTGCAAGAGTAGCCCAGTGGGTTCTACTTGCTCTAGGGACTCGTCGAGCATCATATCTTTCTTCAAGGCTCTTTGTGAAGAACTCTAACCATCGCGTCGGCGGTCTTCCTGCAGTACGTTTGACATCCCGAGGAATCCACTCACTAACGGCTCTTGTCCATCGGTTGTCATTCATACGCATTACGTGTCCGGCCCACTTTATCTTCGACTGTTTGGCGTACAGAACGGCATTTTTGAGTTTTGATCGTTGACGCAGATCGGAGCTTCGGATCCCATCCCTTACTTGTGTGAAACGGGATACTCCTAGCATCGTACTTTGGACTACTTCGATAACGCTGAGTGACCTTTCAACCTGCTTACGCAGCGACCAGGTTTCTGACGCATATGTTAGGAAAGGTAGTACCGTTGAGTCGAAAAGGTGGACACGGAGTCCGGTGTTCTTTCTCCTCTTCACTACATCCTCGATGCTCTTGAAAGCTCCCCAAGCCGTTCGTTTCCTTCTGCTCAGCTCTGGAGATAGGTCGTTCATCATATTGATTTCCCGACCTAAATAGATATAACTGGAGCATTCGGAGATATTCGTTCCATTGAGTGTGAATGGGGCATGCGAAACCAATCCGTTCTTCATGAACATCGTTTTGTGAGATTTAGTCGAAGACCAATCTTTCCAGAGGCATTATCTAAGGCGGCAAACATTCGTTCCGCTTGGCTAAAGTTTAGTGTTATAAGGTCGATATCATCAGCAAAGCGAAGATGGTGTAATTGCCGACGATCGATTTTCACTCCCATGTTATCCCATTCCAATGTTCGCATGACGTTCTGGAGGGTGGCGGTAAATAATTTTAGCGGTATCGCCTTGTCTAACTCCTCTTTTGACGTCAATGTTAACATCGTTGTAGAATGATGATACTTTGGTTGTGAAATTTTTGTACAGCTCACGAAGAATCTTTATATACTGCGTAGGGACTCCTTGACTATCAAGGGCTTCCCAGAGTGCTTCCATCTCAACTGAATCAAAGGCCTTCTGTAAATCGATGAAAGTGAGGCAGAGCGGTCTTTTGTACTCCCGTGATACTTCAATGAGACGTGTTACCGTGTGGATGTTGTCCATCGTACTAAATCCTTTTCGAAAGTCTGCTTGCTCACATGGATGTCCTTCGTCTACTGTTCTGTCAATCCTGTTTAGGATGACTCGAGTGAAAAGTTTGTGGACGACAGACAGTAAGCAGATTGGGCGATAGTTGCCGATATCGTGTAGGACACCCTTCTTGAACAGTAACACGGTCTTGCTGGTCTTCCGCTGAGTAGGTACCTTGCTTTAAGATAGGTAACGTGTGAAGAGCCGAACCAGTGTGTTTACGAGGACTGGCCGATGGTTCTTCAGGCGTTCTGATCTTATCCTGACCTGGTGCTGTTCGAATTTTCACCGTCGAAATGGCATGTCGGATTTTGGAAGGGAGAACCGGTGGTACAACACATCCATCCTCCTTTACTTCATATGACGGAAGGTGGACGCATATCGAAGAGATGCTGAGTAGTATTCGTGAATGATTTTCTCCATTGCTTTTCTGGATACTGTAAGTGTTCCGTCCGGGCGCCGGAGTGCAATCATCTTGGTCTTGTAATTGGTGAAGCTTCGGTGGATCTTGCGAATACCTTTCCCAGCCTCTGGAGCTTCGACCATTAGTGCTGCTCTTCTCTCCTTAAGACCTTGTTTTATCGCCTGTCTGCATTGTTTTGCAAGTTCGGGCGTTAGTCCGCGGTTGCCTGCAGCTCGTGCGATTCCACGCTGGCCGTATCAGCTCGAGTGTTGTTTCTGGAGACAGACGTCTCTTGGTGACTTTCGAACTCCCAGCTTTCATAGCGCTAACGTGAAGATGTTGAATGAGCCGATCGTGTTCTTCGTCGATATTATCGACAACGTCATCTTCCTAACAGCCGCCTAATGAATTGAATAAGTCCCAGTTTACGATGGTTCTGAGACTTCGATTCTTGAACTTGGCGGCTTTTTCTCCTTTCCGCAAGAAATAGAATCTTGCACGAAGGAGACGGTGGTCTGATCCCGTGTAGAATTTTGGGACAACAACGACATCGGTTAGGCAAAGCCTTCTATTTACTATGATGTGGTCTATTTCGTTATGGTACTCTCCATTGGGAGACTCTTACGTCCAGTGTTGAGGGTGGGGCTTCTGGAATTGCGAGTTACCATGGATGGTGTTTGTCCCCATGATAAACTCAGACAACCGCTCACCGTGTTCGTTCCATTCTAATCCGTGGGTCCCAATGTGGTCAACCTTGGCGTTGAAATCTCCAATGATGACCTCGAAGAACTTATGGTCTTCTCTGTAGAACTTCTCCAAGTCCATTTAGAACACTTCGACTTACTCTTCGTCATAGCTTGACGTCTGCGCGTAAACGACGAAGATTGTCAAAGCCAGAACTGATCCACGTCTTTTTAATCGTAAACGTCCGATTCGGGAAGTAAGATGTTCGAATGAATCGATGTTCATGGACAAACTCGTGTTGACGAGAACGCCGACGCCGCCGATTCCTCTACCGTCGCATGTTCCGAGGAACAGTTCTTCTCCGGTGTCATAAACGGCGTTAAAAGGCTGGCGTCTTCTCGTCTCGGCCAGGCCAATGACGTCGTACCTTATTCTTTTTGCTTGCATGAGCAAGCCTTCTATCGAGGATTCAGATGCAAGGTACGTGCATTGTAGGTACAGATCGACACCGTAGTTCCTGGTAATCCAGGCAGCTTCCATTGGTCCTGAGATTTCAGCAGCCTCTCCGCACTCGTCCTACCTAACGCTGCGAAATTGGGTGCTCTTTTGGGGTCAGGGGAATGAGGCCCCTTTGTTTCTGTGTTTAGCATTCTTCATACCCACGTATAGCTTGCTGGACGCTGAACGTGGAGGTTAGGTATACTCACGGGTAGCTTGCCAAGCTCTCCCAAATTGGACATGGAGCTTACT